GGCACGACATCATTACTGGGGCCGTGTCTGGATCCTGATTTGAAGAAACCATTTATAAAATGCCATTTTTGAGACAAGGGGAAGTTTGAGTATGAACTAGGTTTTAGATGAAATCAAGGAATTATTATTTTTTTAAAGATTTTATTTATTTGAGAGCGAGAGAGCATGAGCAGAGGGAGAGGGACAAGCAGACTCCCCGAGGAGCAGGGAGCCCCACGCGGGGCTCAATCCCAGGACCCTAGGATCATGACCCGAGCCGAAGGCAGACGCTCAACCGACTGAGCCACCCAGGCGCCCTATAGTCAAGGAATTATTTGTTTAAAGGTGTTTTTTTTTTTTAATTTTAATTCAATTAACATATGATGTATTAGTTTCAGGGGTACAGGCCTGTGATTCATCAGTCTTATATAACACCCAGTGCTCATTACATCACATGCCCCCCTTAATGTCCATCACCCAGTTACCCCATCCCTCCACCTCTCTCCCCTCCAGCAACCCTCAGTTTGTTTCCTTTGATTAAGTGTCTCTCTTATGGTTTGTCTCCCTCTCTGGTTTCATCTCATTTTATTTTTTCTTCTCTTCCCCTATGATCTGCTGTTTGTTTCTTAAATTCCACGTATCAGTGAGATCATATAATTGTCTTTCTCTGATTGACTTATTTCACTTAGCATAACACTCTCTAGTACCATCCATGTCATTGCAAATGGCAAGATTTCTTTTTTTTTTTTTTAATGTGTGGTTTTTCTTTAAACGTTTCTGTTAGGCACGCCTGGGTGGCTTTGTCAGTTGAGCATTGGCCTCTCGGTTTCCGCTCAGGTCTTGATCTCTGGGTCATGGGATCAAGCCTGTGTCTGGCTCAGAGCTTTTCCTCTGCCCCTCACCCTGCGCGCGCGCACTCTCTCATAAGTAAATAAACCTTAAAAAAGTTGTTACATGTGACATTATGGTTATGGAAGAAAATTTACATATTTTTAAAGATGCCCAAAGAATGTCAGGTAAACTGACATGTTTTGGGATTTGTCTTCAAATAATTCAGAAAAGAGGAAAAAGAACAAAGGAGTGGATGAAGCAATCACTGAGGACGGATATGTGGAAGTGGGTTTTACTATTCTCTTTCGTGCGTTTGAAATTCTCCATAATAAAAGATCTTGAATATACAGGAACGATGTGTACATGTGGGAACCTGCCATAAAATCAGACGGTCAGTTCCTCGCACCACCTCCACCAACTACAAATGCCACTTGCCTCCTCTAAGAGAATGCTCCCTCAACTGTCACAGGCAGTTGGGAGGATTAAGTCATCGGGCCCTAAATCCAACCTGGTTAGCACTGGAATCATCCAGAAGGATCAGGAGGGAGCGTTCAGCTTCAAGCGGGGAAGAGATCCTCTTAAATACTGCCGAACCAGCCCGCCTGGGGCTGTGGCCGCCCTCGGAAATAACGAGTACGTATTTGGTTGGCATGTTCCCCATGCAGCTTGGAAACCAGAGCCCCAGCAGGAGGCAACTCCCCAGTACTTCTGCCTCCGCGCGAGGAGGGAGGCGTCTCTCTTCTTTTTGCCACATCACATGTGATGGATGCGGCTCACGGGAAATCCGCTCCCACAGGCGATCCCAACGGCCCTAACTTTTCCTCTCCCACTCCACGGAGCATGGAGGTATGCGAGCCAGGGGCTTGGGCATCCGTGGTAATATACCAAATTTAATAACTCTCTAGAAAACATCACTGCTTATTAGACATTATTCGTGACACAGCTCTGAACAGACTGTCGCCATACTGTCTTCCAAACTGAGGTCAAGGCCCCTGGGCCTGTGTCTATACAACCACCTCCCTCACTTCACCCCCACCTAGCTCCTCAGAACACTGAAAACTGCATTTCAGGCACACAGCACATTGATTTGAATAAGGAAAAAGTTCTTTTATTTGTTATTATTTTGCTGAGCTAGGCCACAGGGCACCGTGTTTAAGAACAAGGCTTGGCGGGGCGCCTGGGTGGCTCAGATGGTTAAACGGCTGCCTTCGGCTCAGGTCATGATCCCAGGTCCTGGGATCGAGTCCTGCATTGGGCTCCCTGCTCCACGGGAAGCCTGCTTCTCTCTCTCTCACTCTCTTATGAATAAATAAAATCTTTTAAAAAAAGATTTTATTTATTTGACAGAGAGAGACACGGCGAGAGAGGGAACACAAGCGGGGCGGGGGGGGGGGGGGGGGGGGGGAGAAGCAGGACTCCCGCAGAGCAGGGATCCGGATGCGGGGCTCGATCCCACGACCTGGGATCATGACCTGAGCCGAAGGCAGACGCTTAACCATCTGAGCCACCCAGGTGCCCATCAAATAAATAAAATCTTAAAACTAACTAACAAGAGTGGGTTTAAGATTAGTACTCGCGTACCGTCCATAATGCTATGCAGAGTGCCTGGCATAGAGCAAGTACTTAGTAGCTATTAGTTATTACTGTTACGTCCCGTTACCCCTACTCTGTGGCAAGGTCCTTGAGGAGCTCTGTCTTGTTCATTTTATTTTCTCATGCTTGGCACACCGCCTGGGGCAGGACAGTTCTCGATATAAATGTGTCGAATGAATAACATCCATCATCCAATTGGTCAACACTTGTTGATCCCCTGCCAAGCGCCACGTACTAGTCCATGCACTGAAAATGGAGCAGCGAACAGAACAGCAAAGCTCTGGGGCTCGTGCTCCAACAAACAGACAAGCATATGTACGGCTGGACAGGAGGAGAAACAGAGTGAGCTTGAGGGGGCTGGGGAGCCAGGGGAGGGGGTGAGGCTGCTCTTTTATATATGGCAGAAGGTCTCTCTGAGGTGAGCGGAGACTTATAGGAAGGGAGGGAGCAAACCACCCGAAGAAGTGCCGGACGCGAGCTCCAGGCAGAGGGCACGGCAGGTGCAAAGGGCCTGCAGAGGGCACGGCAGGTGCAAAAGGCCTGGAGCTGGCAATGCGTGGTGTTCCTGAAGAATGAGGAGGCCAGTGGGACCCGAGTGGCATGAATGAAAAAAGGCTTTCATCTCTTTTTCTACTTGGTTAAAAATGAGCACATGACACAATTCAGTAATTGAAAAAGATGTATTAAAATATCCACAAAAGTACAATAATTTTGAAGAAGGGAAAAAAAAAAAATAACAATGAACTCGATGGTTTTTCCCTAGCTGGATACATTTCCACTGAGAACCTACAGGTGGTTTGGGATTTTCACCTCTTAAGTAATCGCTTCTAGGTGGCCCCTGATCACACGGAACGTTAAAAGGTCTCCTTCTCCCACTAATTAGACATGGGGAGGGCAGCTCTGCTAGCTGAAAGCAACCCGATGTTGTCATCTGTGGCCAGGCATGGGGACACTGGGTCGCAAGAGAAAGGGCCAAAAAACCCAGAGGCGGTTAGGAGAAAGCCCCGGGGCCAAGGAGGCAGCTGTCCGCTCCAGGTTTGGGGGGGGTGGGGAGCTGCGCTGGATGCCCCAGGTGGCAGCTTCCCAAGCACCCGTCCTCGCAAGGAAAGGGGGAACCGGGACTGTCGCTCTCAGGACGTATTAGGAACGTCTACTTTATTCGGAGGACCTGTGAAGAAAAAGGACAATGCCCCTTTTCTCTGTAAAAAAGGACTCAAGGAAACATGACACAGACGAAGGCACCCCCTCGGTCTCTCAGCAATTTGTGTCCTTTCTACCTTATGGCGGTCTTGGCCAGCTGTCCGCTTCTCGGGTGGCAAAGGCTCACCAAGAACATCGCCATCATCAGCTGGAAGAAGGGTGACGATGCCAGCACACCGCCCCCCCAAACACACACGCGCACACAGGGCTTTAGAGGCTCCTGCGGTTCTCAGAATGGATGCAGGGAAGTTTCCGGGGGCACGGCGAAGCCGCCCACTTCGCAGAAACGTGTGGGGCGAGCCCTGGGCGCCCCCGTATCAGCTCGTGCACATCTTCGCGCCCGGTGCCCTTCGGGAACGCTCCGCAAAGTGGGCCTCGGAGTCACCGCACGAAGGTGACAGCAGGTGGCGAGGCAGAGCGAGCCGCTCCGGGTGCGCCTGAGACTCAGCGGCAGGAAAAGTAGCACGGGCCGGACGTCTCCGTGCCTGGCTAGCCGGGGTCCTGCCCGACTGGGGGGCTTTCCCGTAATTTTAAGTGGAAAAGAAATTCTGTTAAAATCATCCAGAAAAAAGGGGGGAATGACAATAAAAACAAGTGTTCGCTGATCTTCCCCATGTTTTTCATTCCCAGTAAAAGATAAAAACTCATCGGCTCAAGACGGGGTAAGAAGGGTAGTCAGTGAAGGCTATGAATTCTTGGAAAGGATACCCCCATTTCCCCTCACCTCCTTATTTATCAATTCCACGTAATGGGAAAAAGTGGGGGGGGAGTGAAAACAAAAAAAGAAAAACCAAAAAAACCCCACCCCAAACGCCAGAACAGTAACAGAGAAGAGACTTCCAGAGCAGAAGTGCTAATAACCCTACCTGCTGATTTAAAAAATCTAGACTATCTTTAACCTTTGAGGCCCCATGAAGCTATCACAGAGCCGTGACCAATGCCACCTCTCGCCGGAATCATGACGGAAGCTTTTAGAAAGACGGTTCTCTAGAGACAGCTCCGGGATGCCACAGACTGCCTTTGTAATTATCCCAATTTGTGCCTACTTAAAAGGAAATGAAACTCCTCTCCTTCAGCTGTATGGGGACCCTTATTCCAAGCAGGGAGGACTTGGGCAAAGAATATAAGTGGTACCTTTTACTCTCCAAATGGCACCGTACTCCTCAAGCAAGGCCTGGGGTTCCTACTTCAATTACGTATATGGTATTGATCTAAAAGTACCTAGAAAGAGGTGACCTTGGCATTTATCCTTTGCTGGTCTTGCTATGACAAATCCACCAACTGATATGATCAAGGGTGTAACATTAAGGTCGGTCTCACAACATATAAAGCAAAAAACCAAAACACCAACGAAAACTTCTCGAACTGTGTTCAAGTGGCACGGCTAATGGAGGTTTTCTGCTAGAGGCCACCCTGGGCACGATGCCAGGACAGTGTCTCCACTCTCCAACCACGATAAATGCAAAGACTGATTAAGCCCTGAGACAGAAGGGCCATGTCTACTGGAATACTAAAGATCTGCTACCATCTCCATGAAGGCCAACTACATCTAAATGACAGCGACAGGAATGTTTCTGACTTTTCCCAACTGTAAAGGACCCTGAAAGAAAGTACAAAACAGCAAGACAATTTATACATACGGAGAATCATACCATCTTTTCATCATGCAACAATGGTTCCCCATATCAGATTAAATAGAATATTTATACATATCCTTTATACACATCTTTTTCTCCTTCCATGAATGAACATGTGCTTGTCCTTGCCCGGCTCTCCAAGGCCACACGTGGTTATGGGCTACATTTTCTGCATAAGCGTCCCCTTTCATTTTTTTCTTGCTTAGGATATGTTCTGGGTCTTCTCTTAATTTTTCCGGATGTCCGCATACACCACAGACTCTGACTTGTTAATCTTGTCACTGTGATGCCCGCCAGAGTGGTCTAACTGCGCATATATGACTGGGCCCTGGAGAAGAGAAGGACAATTAGGGGTGTGGGAAAACTGGTGGTCCCTTCAGGGGCATGGGCAGAAGCAATCATCAAAGTGGTAACATTAGGGTTCCAGAGTCATGAGTTCCTTCTTCGGAATGTCTTCAAGAAGACCTCTTAGGAACAGTATGTCCAGGGCTGACTTTAAAACAAGGTTGGGGTTGTCCGGTGATTGTTAAAGCTGGTGCACGGAGGCATATTACATTATTCCATCTACTTCTGTATCCGGGAATTTCTACACAATATAATATTCCTCCTCAGGAAGTACCCTTATCTTTGTACCTGACACAGAATTCCTCAACCCTTGTAACTGGGATCAGAGTTTTAAGGACTAAGATGGGCACCTGAGACCCACTGAAATTGTGAGTACCTAAGAAACAAGCATGTTGGGTATCACCCAAAGATATGATCGATTTGAACTGGTCACTTTGTACAAACAGGTGCTTAAAAACATTTCAAATACTCTCTCATGTACCTACTGAGAATATAATTCTTTTGGTCTGATCCTATCATAACTAATAAGGGTATTGCTTCTTTGATATCTAAGACCAGGTAACTATTTTTCCTGTTTTAAAATAAAAAACCAAAAAGCTATGATCTGGAGCAATGTGAAGAAAACTCTGGACGGACTAGTATAGAGGAGGCCCTTTGGCCTCAGCAGTGAGGAAGGGGGCCCCAGGGCCCCAGCCAGGACAGCCAGGGAAGGCAGGCTGCTGGGAGACACAGCGAGCCCTCTGGCTCCTGGGGGAGGAGGCCCAAGCAGACACTGGTGTTTCAAGTATCAGGTGGGTGCTCGCACTTCACGACCCTTATTGTCCCTCCCTTCCAATCCAGAGATTCTAAAGTTAGAAACAACAATAACACAATAGCCCTGATTGCAAAAGACAAGTTCAATATAACCCAAAGTCAACTTTTCTCCCAATCCAGGAAACTCTCCTTGAGAAGTCAAATATTGTGCTTAAGCTTTCAACTTTGGAATCATAAGCTCAGTAGCCAGAAGCCTGTAGTTCCAACTAAACATCCTTATTCCCACCTGGGGGCCCCAGAACTTGCATCCCCTAATGAGTCGTGGGGGATCCAGGAGTGCAGGCCCTCCAACTTCTCCAGAAGGGACATGCTGGCTGTCAGGGCCACACGATATGCACCTGAAGTGGTTAGAAAACAAAGCCCAGGGCTGCCTCTCAGGCCCACCGCCTGTCCACTAACAGACTGTGATTGAGACCACTGCAGACAGTCCAGCCAACTGCAGGTGCAGAGATCGGCTGGACTCTCCTGGCCAAATCTACCCAACCAACCCACAGAATTGGGAGCCAAATAAATATGGTGGCTGTTTTAAGCCATTATGTTTTGGGGTGGTTTGTTACACAGCAATAGCTAATTGATACACTAGGTGAATGGAAAAGAAAGAGAACGAGAAAACAAAGACAAAAAACACAGAATAAGTGGAGAATCGGTCAGTAAATGTTAAAATACCAGTAAAGTCTCTCATGTGAGACAGTGTTGTCTTCCATGGCAAGAGGACACAACAATTTGTCGAAAGCAACTGGGAAAACACTGAAAGATAAAAGGAATTCCCTCCTGTTGATGGATTTGTGTGTGTGGTTTGTTTGTTTGTTTGTTTGTTTGTTTTCAAATTGCTTACCACTATCCCATGTCTTCATTCCCTTTCCCTCTTAGAATGGGGTCCCGAGGTCAGGGATTTTGTTAGTTAAGTGCCTAGAGCAGGACCGGGCAGACCCAGTAGGTGCCAGTGAAGGGGTGGATGATGTAATGGATCCAAAGGAATTCTGGGATGTGGCTCAAGATCAGGTATCTGCTGCTAGATCTAGCTCAATCTAGAACAGCTCTTTGAAGCTGGGTTCTGAAGGTTATTTGGAAGCTAAAAGTATCCTGGGTCTCTGTGGAACATGGAGGATCCAGGGAACGAAGATAAGTCACTTTTGGGTATTCGAGAATTAAAACAATATCAAGAACAGCACCTATGCTAAGCTAGATGTTTTTACTGTACATCTTGGCACTCACCCCCTCTACCCTCCACTTTTTTTGGCAGGGTGGGGGTGGGGGGGGATACTTTACCACACAGAATTACAACAATCGAGTGAAAAATCGCTCTGGATACATTCTCCCCCAACTATTTATTGCATAAATTGTCCTTAACTACTGAAAATGTTTCAAGAAGCAAATTGCCTGACCCAGGTCTAGAGATAAAATTACTCCTGAAGTCCATGTGTATGAAATGTATTCCAATATAAAAACATACCGGTGAAGGTGGGGGGAGAGGGATCATAAAGAAAGGGTTACGGAAGAGCAAGGAGGCCCACCTCCAAACATGCACTGATTACGCAGAAGCCAGTGTGTGTTCTGTCCTGCTGTCCACTTTCCATAGTCTCTGCGCCCCTTTCTAATCTCAACCACGCCTGATCCCCTAGCACAGGTACCCCACCAAGAGAGAACACTTGCTTTTACCATATGCTCAGTGACTGTTCATAAAACACCTTTTTCAGTATTTATGTCCCTGCCAAAAATAGGTGTGAAACAGCTACACATTAGGACTCTGAGATAAATGAGATTGAGTATCAAAATGGACTTGAAAAGAACGGGACAGGCAGGAGACAATAAGCACCTGCCTTTGAGCCAGACAGATCTGCATCTAACACCAGTTCTGCCGCTAACTAGTAACTCTGAGCAAGTGACTCAACCTAACAAAGCTTCAATTTCTTCATGTGGAACATAGGGACAATAAAAGAATGTGCCTCGTAGGGCTGCTGTGAGAACCAGATGAGGCGAAGAGCGTGCGTACTTCAAACATTACCGCATCCTGGTGCCCCAGCTGATAGGTACCTAACTAGTCCACTCCATCGCTGCCCCCCACCAATCCCTGACTTTTGCATTCAAAACATTAACCATTTCCAGAAAAGGATTCAGGAAAGAGACCCACAAAAATTATTTTATTTTTTTATTTTTATTTTTTTAAAGATTTTATTTATTTACTTGAGAGAGAATGAGAGATAGAGAGCACGAGAGGGAAGAGGGTCAGAGGGAGAAGGAGACTCCCCGCCGAGCAGGGAGCCCGATGTGGGACTCGATCCCGGGACTCCAGGATCATGACCTGAGCCGAAGGCAGTCGCTCAACCAACTGAGCCACCCAGGCGCCCCACAAAAATTATTTTAAACTAAACTTCACAAAGAAAGAGTTTTGCTTCTCATCCCTAATGCCAGAATACTCTAAGTAATGCCTACCTAACACCCTTCCCAACCCAACCTTCTACTTCCACTTCGCTGAAGAACCCTAATTCGGGTTTGGTGTTCCCCATCCCTTTGCTCAGGTAAATGACCCCACCCTTCCCTGCCCCCAGGGGTGAAGCCCGTCATCATCCCTGTCCCCTTGCCGATGACTGGAAGAGACATCAGCATGTGACCCTCTCCCAGTCAGGACTCAGAGAAGTCTGCTGGGGGGCTTCTGGTAAAGGAAATCCATAATAAAAACCGCATGGGAGGAGCTTCAGCTCTTCTCCCAGCTGCCTTTTCTCAGGTGCTGCCGGAAACCATGGCGGCCATCTGGAGGCTGCAGGAAGGAGCCCAAGAACAAAGACAATATGCAGAGGATGAAAGCAGAAGGCGGAAAGACTATGTCGTCGATGACACTGTGGGGCCACTGAACTAAAGAACACAGAAGTACCTTGCGTTGGGACCGCTTGTGAGTTAATAAACCTCTGACTGTTAAAGCTACTTTTACTCAAGCCTTCCAGTTATAACAAAAATAGTGACCAAAGACAAATAATACAGCAAACTTCATGTCCTGGTTGGGTGTTATGTCTCATCTTTTGTAAATTTCCTCCTTAGGGCGCTCCTGTTATTTCCCTTCTTCTGACAAAATAACATGGAGTTATTTATTCCTCCAAGTAGTAATTACTAATGCTATTAGATTCTCGGATGGTGCCTGTGGGTAGGAAATAGAAGGTTTTGCTGATCAGGGAACATGTCATGATAAAACCCCTGGAAGAAAGTACCAAGGGATAGCTTGCAAATATTCCTATCCATGCCCCCACTTCACCAATCTGATTGCTAGCATGGGCAGCAACCGCCTATACCTGTCCTTATAAAGCACAGTGCACCACCGCCCTTATAATTAAAAACAGAAAAATGAGAAGATCGACTTGCTGCAACCCATCATTTCAGAGATGAGAAACAGATGCTGAGGTAAAATAATTCTCCCCAAGTTAACACCACTGGCTGGATCCCAGAGTTAGTGCCAGTCTGTGACACATTACTAATTCTTAAAACACTACCCTGGAGTTCATCTAAGTATGAAGATTTCCTCAAGGCTGTTTGTCAGGGTATTAAAAAAAAAAAATCTGTTCATTAGGATATTAAAAAAAAATTCGGGACGCCCGGGTGGCTCAGTTGGTTAAGCGGCTGCCTTCAGCCGGGTCATGATTCCAGAGTCCTGGGATCAAGTCCCACATCAGGCTCCTTGCTCAGCAGGGACTCTGCTTCTCCCTCTCTCTCCCTCTGCTTGTGCTCTCTCTGTCAAATAAATAAAATCTTAAAAGTAAATAAAAATAAAAAATAAAACAAAATTTCAGGCCATCACAGAAAAGCCTAAAAATGATCTTAACAACCCAGAAGACTCTCAGGTTTTTGAGGGCAGGGTCTGAGTGCTCATCACCCCTGCATTTCCTGAGTTCAGCCTACACCACCCGCATAGTAAGCACCCACATGTGTGTGGAAGTGATCAAAACAAAACATACAGAGGAATGATTAGATTCTTAAGAGAATCCTTATGTTTGGTTGCATTCAACTTACAAAGGGTAATGAATCTCATAAATTCCCTAATAAGATGATCATAGCAGGTCAAGTAAGTTTTTCCTAAACTGTGAAAACCTTTGCAGCCTCCGTTAAACTGAAGAGAGGGTATAGCATGAGGATTCTGGCAACTACAAGTTCCGTCCAATACTCCGGTGCTCGGCCAGAGAGGCATCACGATGCAAACTGAAGATGGCATGTGAGCGACAGTGAATAAATGCACTCACCAGGGGCGCCTGGGTGGCTCAGTCAACTGAGCATCACGTTTGATTTCAGCTCAGGTCATGATCGCGGGGTTGTGAGCTCGAGCCCCGCGTTAGGCTCTGCGATCAGCGGGGAGTCTGGCTGGAGATTCTCTCCCTCTGGCACCCCCCGCCCCACCCCCCCCGCGCTCACTCTCTCTAAAATGAATAAATAAATCTTTAAGAAAAAAAAAAAAGCACACACTAGGATCACCTGCTAATGCTCTACGGCATTTAGGAATTTTACGGTGTGAATGAAGCAAATATTTTAACCTTAGGAGAGCGGTCCCTGTTGTAAGCTGACATGGCCACTAAATGCAAAGCCAAATAAAACAAAAACTAGAAGAGAAGTCTGCTAGGAAATCACATGATCTACTTCCAAGCCTTGCATTAACTGGCAAAGGATTTGTAAGTTCCAGAAACTGGTAAGGCAGAAACTAGTTTTAACAAGTATGACTGTAAAGTAAAAGGTACTGTATGACTTGATAAGAATAACTAAGTCAGACAAAGCGTACTCAGGTACGTGCCACCTGAACAGAAACCCTGATTTACAACCCGATGGGAGACGGAAGAGGCCTTCAGGGGTCTGCCCTGAGCACAAAGGAAATCACCCAGGAAGCAACTGTGAGGAACACCACAATTTTACTCCCAAAGTTAATCTGGTGTTATCTTGCGAATGCTGAAAAATGCCAATACAGATTGACACAATGGCTGGATTACTTCTCACCAACCTCTAGAAAATGCCATTGAGTTCAGCCTGGGCACAACCCTAGGGGTTTACTCACAGCAAGTGAGCCATCTCTGACTCAGGGATAGCAGGACGGCAGGGGGAGGTGTTGGCACTCAAAACGGGGTGGGCAAGTCTGCTTCTAGAACAGTGAGCCCTCATCTCTCCTTCCTCTGCTCAGCTCCCAAGCAGGGGTTTCTTTCTGGAGAAAGTGATGAACCCAAGAAAAAAAGACTCTCAGCAACTGATACTTAGAGGTCCCCCACTGGAAGACAGCCAGCACTTCATACCAACTGTGAAGCCCACAACCCAGGAAGCTCTATCTCTGCACAAAGAGCTTCTGAGCAGATCTGAGTACCTTACATATCAAGGATCATTGAACATATGAGTAAAGCTTCTAACATAAAAGACCGAAATTATAAGAGAAAAAGGTAATTGAAAAGAAACAGCAAAATCAAGTGACAGAAGAAAACATTAAATAAAAAAATCACATATAACCTAAGAAAAAAATGATAAGCTCAGAAGAAAAATGCATTCGTGAAAACAAGTACAGGATATTAGAATTAGAGAATAAAAAATAGCTTTTTGAAAATTATTTAAAAAGGGGCACCTGGGTGGCTCAATCAGTTAAGCATCTGCCTTCGGCTCAGGTCATGATCAGGTCTTGGGACTGAGCCCCGCATTGAGCTCCCTGCTCAGTGGGGAGCCTGCTTCTCCCTCTCCCTCTGCCTCTCCCCCTGTCCATGCTCTCTCTCAAATAAATAAATAAAATCTTTTAAATAAACAAACAAGTACTATGTAATAAAAAAACAAGGCAAATATTGGCTCCATGAAAAACAAAAAATTACAAAAGGAAACAAATATATGTGGTACAATGGTGGGGAAAAAAAAAAGCTACACACAACTCTGAAATATACCTAAATCCAATGACATAACCACATTGGGAAGAGGCCTGTGTGTATGTATGCATACAGAATGTGTGTTGGGAAGAAAGGCTGGGAGAAAAAGAAACGTATATTCTCATTTTCCATAGTATGGAGCTGGTAGATAATATCTAAAACTGAACTATCTAGAAGTAGTAATATAATAAAGTTGTTTAGAAACATGAAGATAAATACCAGAAGAAATAGTTAAAAGAATGGAAAGTGTTTGGCTTTTACTTCTTTAATTTTTTTTTCTTACTCCCTTCTCTTTCCTTCCCTTTTCTGACTCTAATCAGATATTGCCCATCTTCTCTAGTCTGCCCTTCTCTTCGTGCTTCATTTTGGGTAGTTTCTATTGCTGTGTCTTTGAGCTTACTGATTATTTTCTTCTGTGGATTATGTCATCCAATGTTGTCCCCCCCCCCCATTCTGGTCTTTTTTATATGTGTCTCATTATGTCAAGGTTCCCTTCAAGGTAAATTAAAAAATTTTCATTCTTGTTTAAAAGTCCTGGTTCTATGTCCATTGTCTGTCATTTCTGGCTTTGTTTCTATTGATTGACTTTTCTCCTGGTTTTGTTATTATTTTCCTGCTTCTCTGTACGTGTGGTAATTTTTGATTGGTGCTAGACATTGTAAACTTTACATTGTTGGGTGCTGGATTTTGTTGTATTCTTATAAAGAGTGTTGGATTTTGTTCTGGCATGCAGCTAAAATACTTCAGTTTAGTTTGATTCTTTAAAGGCCTCCTTTTAAGCTTTGTTATGGTGGGTCCACAGTGTCCATATCCTGGTGCTAATTAGCCCTACTACTAAGGCATGACCATTCTCAGGACTGCAACCAATACTCTGTATATCACGAGGTCTCTGAACTCTGGCCTTGAGGAACACAAACAATTCCCAGCCCTGACTGGTATCATATAACCCACTGCTTTTCAGGTGGTTCTTTCTCTGGTTGGAGGGTGTTTTCTCCCGTGCGTGCAAAAATCTCTACTCAGAAAAGGCTCAAGGGAGCCCCACCACTGCACGTCTCTTTTTCTCTGTGTAGTTTCTTCTTCTCTGGTACTTTGCCTCATAAATCCTAGACCCCTTGATCTCCCCAAATACTGACTTCTGCCCCTCAATTCAGTGGGACAACCGAGCTCTGTCTGTGCTGCCCCTCCCAGCACTGCAGTCTGGAAACTGCCTCAAGACAGTAAGCTCAGATGTCACAGGGCTCCTCTTACTTGTGTCCTTTCTCTCAGGGATCACAGCACCACTGTGCTGTTTCATTTTCCAGTGTCCAAAAACCATTCTGTCTTCTTCCCCCCTGCCCCTTGTTTTCAACAGGTGAGCAACTCCCATAGTGCTTCAAAGCAGAAGAAAAAGTTTCCGAGCCTTCTTCCGATTCAGATTTTATGCCTAACTCTCAAGCCTTTATTCATAACTCTATTCCCATTTGCAACCCGAATTAGTGAACGGAGGTATCGGAGATACACTATGTTATCTGAGAGAGACAGAGAGACTAGGAATTAGTCATGAGCCCTGATGCTATGATATGACAGAGAATGTGCTAGAACTTGAGTTCTAGACCCAATTCTGCGATTTGCTGGGTGTGTGCTTCCAGTGATTTCACGTCACAATGCCTCCGCGTCCTCACTGTGGACGGAATAAGGCCCATGAGTACCACTTCCACAGATCACTGTTATTCTTTTCTTTCTTCCTTTTAAATCCACTGAGCTCCAAAACACCTCAGGGAAAAGCTGTCATTGGCCAAATTCCTTAGAATGCTTTCTACCCCAGAAGGACAGAGTCGGTACTAAGCTCTGGAATTTTTGCCGTGCCACAATTAGAGTTCCAACAACACCGCCAAAACCCAGTATTAACCACAATGCTAGATCCTATGCTGAGTTCCAAATAAAAGTTATTTCTCTTCTGTATTTTCTATGAGAAGTAGAAATCAATGCCTTTCCTCGTTCATCAAGCCTACCAATTATTTGGATACATGCTTACTTTCAAATTCTTCTAAAGAACTCATACAAAATATTTTTTTCTATTTAATTTCAATACCAAGACTATCAACTTTTTCCTGCTAATTCCTTGTCTTACAGAGCGCCTCAAAACATAACCTAGTTCACTAGATTTACTTCCTTAAGCAATCAAGGAATTACATCAGACAAGGCCATTTCCTAATTTCATTTGGCCGAGAGGAGCGGCATTATTAGTAACAAACCGTTAGCAGTGCTTTGGTGGAAACCTTTACTCGGGTCGATTCTTCTCCACATATTTTCTTGTGGCCCTCCTAAGCCAGCTCTTATTCCCCCTCTCCCTCTCTTGCTCTCTTTCCTGTCTCATGGCTCAGTATTGTTTCCTGCATCAGGAAAGTGACAGGGCACCAAACTACAGAGTACAGAACAGTGGGCAGAACTGCAAGCAGCCGTTACCTGGTGGGATCCAGAAGGCAGGCTCTTTACTAGACCCTCTGTGTCGGAGGGGGACTTCCGTGGGGCCTGCTTAACTGGTGACACACTCTCTGATGTACTGCAGCTGGTGAGTTGGCAGTTTGGAGAACAAATGTAAAAAAAAAATAAATAAAATTAAAATAAATGGAAAAAAAATATAGATATGCAAGTGATGACAAGATGAAGCAGCAGATAAAACCAAACACAACAGAACAATGAGTATCAAAATGGTCACAGATCTTGAGGCTATTTTTCATCCCTGACACTATTTCTTTCAAGTCAATGAACCTACTGTGTGTGGATAGAAACCAATGTAGTGCAACCTTGGTTTGCTGCTTTGTGTTTTCCCCCTGCTATCACTCCTCTTCTGGGATTAATGCTTAAAGAAGCTAAGGCTTCGTAATAGCAATCCAAAGCAAACCTCTGCTGAACGTATTTCAAAAATTAAAGATCCACAGCCAGGGTTGTCGCCTTGGCTCATCTCATCCCTTCCATTCCTTAGCTCCCCATATTCAGTTTCCCCTCTAATACTACAACCCAACCAAAGAAAACCCAGGAAGTGACAAATGATAAGAAACTCTGGAATGTCACATCACAAAGGCTGAACTTTGTCAGGGCTCTGGGCGTCTTTCACAACAAGCATTATCTCATAAATAAAGAAGGAAAAGTGAATGACAGGAGGTAACTCATTGGGGATTCTCTAATGGTACTTGTCAGAGCTTAAATCCTTTATGATGCATTTTTAAAGAAAATCTTAGAGGTTTGGGGAGGTCCACATTCAAGTGTGGTTACTAAGAACAAAGCAAACTGTGTGTTCTGTGAACTGTGTCTTCTCTGAAACAGGAAGCTCTAAGCTCTGTATTCCCAAACCAAAATGGTCTGAGTATCTAACACAAAGAGGGTCTCAACCACCAATAACACAATTCACATAGGAAAGAACACAAGGACACTAAAACACACACACACACACACACACACACACACAAAGCCACTCTACATGAAGAACATATATATATATTCAGATGATCATAAAACCTCCGGGAAACCTGACAACCCAATTTCCCTGGGATGGTACGCTCAACAAGTTGCCAATGCAAACACAGGACATATTTGTGGACAAACTATAATAACTGTTGGGTTAGCTCAGAGCTAGCTGGTTAGTTGTCGACAAGGGGGACGGGCTGAATACATACACGTCAATGTTAACAGCAATGGGATTAGTTACCATGTGTCTAGTGGGAGTGGAAGAGGACCCCAGCCCCGTTACAGTCCCAGTGTGTCCTCTATGTCAGCCTTCCTTAAGAAGTGGAAGAGAAGCAGGATCTGATCCCGGCACACCAAGGTAGAAAAAGCAGGGGAGGGGGAAAAAAAACCACAGTAAGAAGAGAAGCAGCATTCACGATGCCATGCAGGATTCTAAGGCACGCTTTTCTGCCCCCTTCTGACTCCCAAAGCAAGAACTACAGACCCTGGCGGGTCACTACCCTGGATTAGTCTCATGTTGAAAACCAACGCTCCAGTTACAGTTCATCGTAAAGCACTCACCATGCAAAAGGGAAGAGAGAGTCAGCAGGACAGAAGCATTCCAAGCAAACAAGATCCGAATTTGAACACTCAAACGTGTTAGAACACGGCACTCCTAAAGACTGGAGCAGCACAGGGGGCCAGGGCTCCCACCGCCCAGTAGCACGGGGCGCCAGGGCTCCCGCCACCCAGCAGCACGGGGGCCAGGGCTCCAGGGCTCCCACCGCCCAGCAGCACGGGGGGCCAGGGCTCCAGGGCTCCCACCACCCAGCAGCACGGGGGCCCAGGGCTCCCGCCGCCCAGCAGCACGGGGGGCCAGGGCTCCAGGGCTCCCACCGCCCAGCAACACAGGCCAGGGCTCCAGGGCTCCCACCACCCAGCAGCACGGGGGCCCAGGGCTCCCGCCGCCCAGCAGCACGGGGGGCCAGGGCTCCAGGGCTCCCACCGCCCAGCAACACAGGGGGTCCAGGGCTCCCACCGCCCAGTAGCACGGGGTGCCAGGGCTCCCGCCGCCCAGCAGCATGGGGGCCAGGGCTCCAGGGCTCCCACCGCCCAGCAGCATGGGGGCCCAGGGTTCCCGCCGCCCAGCAGCACAGGGGGCCAGGGCTCCAGGGCTCCCACCGCCCAGCAGCACGGGGGCCCAGGGTTCCCACCGCCCAGCAGCACAGGGGGCCAGGGCTCCAGGGCTCCCACCGCCCAGCAGCACGGGGGGCCAGGGTTCCCGCCGCCCAGCAGCACGGGGGGCCAGGGCATGCAATTCTCTCAGAGCACACTCCCTTCAGGCTGCTGACGAGCCTGTGCACAGGGGGCCTGGCTCGTGCTGCAGCCCGAATCCGGCCTCCGCTCGGTCTTACCCCGGGAGTCCTACAGAGCTTACATGGGCTAGCTGTCCAGCTGGAGCGGGGGAGAGAGAAGGTCCTTCAGTTAGACACGCACCCTCTGCTCCGAGGTGCTCTCTTTGAGAAGCCATAAACAGAAAGAAAATCTACTTCTCTTTATTGCTGGTACATTGTGGTGTTCAACTCTTGTTATCCCAGTTTGGAGGAGTCCAGCCATGCATTCGAGAATGATCAAAGCAATAAAACTGCTTACAAAACAACAGAAGGGAAAAGCCCTCATCATCACATCTGCTGGAGTTGTTTATTAGCACCAGGCTTTGGGACTAGCGCTTTATATTCACCCAACTGAAAAGAAGAACCTTGTGCGATTACTACCAAGAGATTCAAACCACACTGATAGTGGGAAAGGGACGTCTGTGGCTTTGTGGTCCTAACTGTGGTCCGTCTATGGCACCGAACCTGAGACAGGCACTTTGGAGTGAGCAGAGTGCCACAGCCCACACTTACCCACAGGCCACTGCTCTCCGCTGCCCCCCAAGGCCACACTCCCCGATTCCAATGTGAAAGCAAACAGTAGCTCATACTTCACCCTTCTTTTTCCACAAAATATACACCAGTTTTATTCCTTTCCTCCCCCCACCTTCTCCCCCACTTCGCCCCCCCCCCAAAGCACTGTTTCTTACCCAGTATAATCCCGTTTAGAGTTTCTCCTTCTATAGAGGACAGCCAGGATCATGCTGATGAGCAGAGTGAGAACTAGAACCACAGCAGTAACTATACCCACTACCACCCAAACTGGAAACACGGGCAAGATCTCTAGAGAGAAAGAACAAAATCGTTTTTAGGTACTTTCCTACCAAGAGAAGAATTGGGATTTTATTAAATTAATAAGCAAGTGCTTTAGCAGTTTCCACTTCCTCTTTTATTGCCCACATTATGAGCTCCTAGTGTCTAAATGATGAAGTACAAATATTAATGTATGAAGAATGAGCTACAGAGCGAAGCATTTCTACGCACACAATCCCTCCCTCTCAATGCTCTAAAGTCAGAGAAATTCCAGGGGTGTGAATTTACCTGGCTCTCCAACAAAGCAGACTTTGTCTCAAAAGGAGACACCAGAACCTGCATTTCCTGCTTATTTTCCAAAAAAGGGAAGAAAAAAGCTGTCCTGCTTTTGCAGATGTGAAAACTTTCTCTCGGGGAATATGGAAGCAATATTAATCTTCTTTCCCACTGCCCACCCCATCCAACCACCGTGAATTCGGTCTGACTTCTAATTAATACTAAAGAATGAACACTGCTGAATTTGGGCCAGTGCGCTCCAGGGACACAGATGAAGAACCCGGCTAGTCCAGCTGGGGAAGCAGGGGCGCCCTGAACCCATGCGTGTGAGCGAGCCGCAGGTATACGGGGGCAGGGGCTTGACTGTAGTACAAACATACTCCTTCCCAACACACCCGGAAATTGAAGACTTGCTCTCCACCTAAACCTGAGATAGAAGGGACTGTGCCACCACTGCCAAAACACTCAAGGAGATACCTTTCTCTACGACATAGAGCCTAATGTGTCCTGGTTGGGCAACAATGTCAGGAGGGTTTTTGACGTCACAAATATAGGTGCCATTGTGTATAAACTGCATATTTTCTATGTTGATTGACGCATCTTTCTTGTCGAGGTCTCCAGCCCAGCTGATTCTGTCCTTAAATGGTGGGTAATTCCCAGGATACACTTGCCCTTGGGAGTAGTGGAAAAACTGCAATTAGAAAAAAAGAACACATGAGCTCTTTTCAAAGGCAGGCACTCTAAACTGTGTAATAGGCATGCTGTGGAAGGTTCTTTTCAAGAGACTTCATACAGAAAGAAATACAACTTCATATGACAAGTGAGCTATGGAATAGAAGCCAGACCAGAATTTAGAAATCACAAGGTTCAATCCTATTTCAGTTGAAGAAATAAACTCGTGTAGCATCTCAAATCTTCTCAATATGCCACTGATGAAATGATTACTCCCCATTTTTTTCTTTTAAAGATTTTGTTCATTTATTTGACAGAGAGAGACACAGCAAGAGAGGGTACACAAGCAGGGGGAGTGGGAGAGGGAGAAGCAGGCCTCCCGCAGAGCAGGAAGCCCGATGTGGGGCTCGATCTCAGGACCCCGGGATCATGACGTCAGCCAAAGGCAGATGCCTAACGACTGAGCCACCCAGGCTCCCCTCCCCATTTTTCATACATAAGGAAAAGGAGACTGAAGGAAGCCATTTGCTTAAGGTCACAGTGATAACGGGGTGGATCCAAAGTCAAAGTCAGGACCATCTGACCCTTCAGAGCCAGTGACCACACCATGACTGAGCCTGTGAATCCAAATGTTTCGGTCTGAATTCACAAAGTTTACCATTTAGTTCTACAAAGACCTGAAGTAAGCAAAGCCTAAAGTGCACAGATCAGTTAGTTGATCTGATGGGTTTCTCCCTCTTATGTATTGGTTTCCTAAGGAAATGTTACAGGTGTGTGAAAGGAAGCCCAGACACCGCAATGTCCTCGCTTCTCTTTGAAGATTCTGCCTTCAGCTAACTTTCCTCACACCTGCTTTTAGCAAAGGAACTCATTTCTCAAGAAACCTTGTCAAGCCCAGCACCTTGGAAGCTAGGTATGGTCCAATGGGTCGGGGATCTATCCTGATACTTGGCTTCAATCAAAGCAGCTCTGCAGGGGGCTTGCTGCCTTTCTTCTTATTCACAGGTGCGATGATAGTGGGCCAGGGGTAGAAATCAGCATTAGTCAAACACAAGCTCCGTGGTTACTCAAAGAGAACATTTTCAGAACCCTCTGAGCACAGTGAATCCTCTGTGTGATTTAAGGACATTGATATTTTGGTAACTCCCCCAACCCCTCTCTCCACCTGTGGTGTTCCCCTGAGCTCTGAATCCTCACCCAACTGCCTACTCACTTTACCACCCAGCTGCCCCACCTCCAAGTTTGTCACCTTCACCTTCCATCTGTGTGTCCCATCTCAACTGGTGGATGACTGCAGTCTCCCAAAACATAAATCCTGGAGTAATCCTTGATTCCTCTACCTTCCTTCCCATCCAGTTAACCTACTAATCCTGTCAATTCTACCTCTTAGTTTCTCTCTTCTCTCTATTGAAGTTCCACTGATAATACATCATTTCGTGCTCTCATCATCTTGGACTGTGGCCTCTTAACTGGTCTCAACCTTCTCTAATCCACCCTCCACAATGCCTAAATGATCACTGGAAAATATTAATAGTAATAATTATATTATGATTATTACCATTTATCAAACATATACCCTGTGCTTAATATAACCTATGTGCTTGTTAAGAACAACAAGCACTCTTATTTCCTGGGGTGGAAAAGAAGCGGGAGCAGATAGGGGAGGATAAGGACCAAAAAACCCCCACAAGATTCAAGATTTAACAACTGGGTCCTTAGACAAACACAACTACCCAAAAGAAAGAGCAAAGAAGGTAAACAAAGGGGAGAGAAGATGAGTTCCAGTTTAGACATGGGGACCCTGATTCCACAGACCAGAAAAGCCATCTATGATATGTCAGGCTTGAATTTTCCTGGAAATCTGTAAAAACCAAAGCATCCAGCTCATCTTATTAAACATATTCTGATACTTTCACGTTAAAAGATCTTATATCAATAGCTAAGCATTCTGGAATTACCTGTAATCAGGTTGGTATGTAAGTATAAATTGAGTAGCCTAATATGCTCATGACAAATACAGCATGTTCTTTATATTAAGTCTTACAGACTTGCCTCAACCCACTTGACAAGAATGTTTTGAGCATAAATGGAGCCAACTATTTGAGAGAGAGTTATTACCACTGGGTGTCTTCCTGGTGATGTTTTATTTCCTATAGACTAAACAATGCCCCTCACCATCCACTCTTACCAAAGACTTCAGTTGGGAAACCTTCACAGGTTTGGACTTTTTTTTTTAAAGGATTTTATTTATTTATTTGACAGAGAGAGAGACAGCGAGAGAGGGAACACAAACGGGGAGTGGAGAGGGAGAAGCAGGCTTCCCGTGGAGCAGGGAGCCCCATGCGGGGCTCGATCCCAGGACCCTGGGACCATGACCTGAGCCGAAGGCAGACGCTTAACAACTGAGCCACCCAGGCGCCCTGGTTCGGACTCTCTTGAGTAAACTTATGTGCGCTTGATTTTGCATCTATAGGAAGCATGTTCTGCACCGGGGCCATGTTCACATGAAGCAGCAGACTATTTCCCCATGAGATTTGCATGATTCCTGCTCTTACTCACTCTTGTGCTACCTTATACAGAATCACACCCAGCTGTACCAGTGAGTAAGTTATCTAAATCTACACTCCTGGACTTGTCCCCAGCCTTCCTTCCTTCTCAGGCATAACATGCAGGGCATCTTCCTTTTTTATGCACATCCTGGGGGACACAGGTCCACTTAAGAATTTGGAAGTCAGGGGGCGCCTGGGTGGCTCAGTTGGTTAAGCGACTGCCTTCAGCTCAGGTATGATCCCGGAGTCCTGGGATCAGGTCCCACGTTGGTCTCCCTGCTCAGTGGGGAGCCTGCTTCTCCCTCTGACCCTCTCCCCTCTCATGCTGTTTCTCACTCTCTCTCTCTCAAATAAATATTAAAAAAAAAAAAAAGAATTTGGAACTCAGGTATATATATTCCAACCCAGTGCAACAGAGATTTTGTTTTGGAGACTTATTTCAACAGAAAATATGTAGCTTTGATGACATCACATATGAAAATGAAGCCACTTAGGCTCAACATAAAAATGGTTTTATTCCAGGGGCTGCAGTCATCTCTATACACAGCCCAAGTTCTCCCAAAGGAGACCCTCAGGAACTCATGATGTAGAAATAATGGGCAGGTAGTCACTCTGTTCTTTCAGGAAAGGCATCAAGGGGAAATTCTTAGCACAAAGACTCTCAGCAAAAAAAGACACTCAAAACTTCCACAGATGAACAAACAGCAGCTTCTAGAGTTTCTAGACCATGCATTCTCAGCAGGGGTGACATCTCTCATAGTAGGGGCAAATACTGGCTCTAAGGGTAGAGAAGGATAAAAAAAAATCTTACTCTTTTTACAAATAAAGCACAAATAAAGATGTAACAGTATATCTGTGGTCTTAAAATTTCACAGAAGGGGGACAGAAATTAGGAAAGCATGTTTCAAAAAGACTCCTTAGGAAGGTGATAATGAATAAAAAGATTGAGAAACACTGCTTTAAGCAATCCTTAAAGCTTAGAGACAGTAAACAGTATTAACAAATTTTTCCATCTGAGAGAGAAAGGATATGTAAGGGAAATAACAGAGCAACTAGAGGGAAACAAAACAGGGTTTGAACAATTCCAGCTTGTATGGTGTGACCTTGGGTAGGTCATGACCCTCTGAGCAGTTTCCCGTGCCCCCCAAATCTGTAGTGGGGAAAACACTTGTTCCTTGCAAGGGTGAGGAGGCGATGTGACAGAGGCATGTGGGGGGCTCAGCATCCAGACGATGCTCAACGATGTAACTCGTCATCATGCAGAAGAAGAATTTATCTCAAAGAGAAGTGGCAGACTCTGTCCCTGCCGAGGACTGACACCCTGAAATGTGAGACCCTGCTAAAGCATGTCCACGTGCAGATGGAACAACAGAAACAGGATAAACTGTGCACGTTAGCACTGCAGGAGCCAGACATGGTCCTGAGCACCTGACTTGAACAATCCTCTGTGACCCACATAGCAGCCCCAGGGGGAGGTCTGCTCATCCCCATCCTCCAGACAAGAATCAGGATGGTTGGGGCACCTGGGTGGCTCAGTCGTTACGCATCTGCCTTCAGCTTGGGTCATGATCCCAGGGTCCTGGGATCGAGCCCCACGTCAGGCTCCCTGCTCGGCGGGGAACCTGTTTCTCCCTCTCCCTCTGCTCCTCCCCCAGCTTGTGCTCTCTTGCATGCTCTCTCTCTAATAAATAAGCAAAATCTTTAAAAAATAAATTAAAAAAAGAAAAAGAATCAGGATGGTCAGTCCACGTGGAAGCACCCCACTGCTCAGCTAGCACTCAGCTACTGACTGACTAATCTTCCTGTCAGCTCTCCGGGGCCCGTCTTTGTTCTGCCCCTCACCTTAGTCTGAAGTCCCCCATGTACCATTCCTACCCCTAACTGTTCCCGTTCTGAGGACCCTACATAGCCCCCGCACAGTAAGTTTCCATGACTACTGCTGAATCAGATGGACTACAAATCAAAAACCTTCATACTTAAATCAGAAAGGTGTGTGTGTATGTATAAAATAGGAATACTTCAAAGAAATACAAATAAAAATGGGGTAAACGAAAGCTGAAACGTGGAGGATAAACTGTGATTAGTCAGCAGGGTCAACTAGAAGCTACTTGGTGGAACAGAAATTCCATAAGGGGATTTGACGGAGAAGAACAGGGGGCTGGAAAGAGGAGAGTGCCATCCATGTAAAGCCAAGGAAATAACTGCCTTTAAGGGATGCTGAACTTATTTTTTTCCTGGAGAGTTTGAAGCTAAAGAGGGGCCCCGGAATCTACATGTCAACACACTCGTTTGGGAAGTGAACCATCAGAAGAATGGATATTCATTATACTACAGCAGCGAAGAAGAACCCGGGAGGAAGGCTCAGCAGGAGGAAGCGAGCATTCTTACCGACACAGTGGTGTCGGTGCCCTCGGGCTGGAAGCTCCAGGAGACCGAGGTCAACGTGCCGGTGGTGTTAGTGGACTTGAACTTGCATGTCAGCTTCCCTTGGGTCCCATTTGCCACGAAGATTTCTTTTGGTGTATATACCTCCAAGGCTGATGCACCAGTGGTCACTGGAGAGAGAAGAACAAGAAAAGCTTGAGTAGGATTTCGCAAAAATACCACAGTCCGTATCTATTAGAGAAGACAACAAAAATAACGAGAAAGTTATTTGATATATACGGTATATCTGTTGCTATTGTGTACTACACATTTCTGGCCGAACAGTCCCCAGCCAGGTCCTTCCGACAAGCACGATAAACTGCTGACCATCTGGGATTCTGTTTTTGTTTTTCAGTAGGAAGTATTTTCACTAGTTCAGCTATACCTAATGTTTATGTTTTCTTTTAAATTAACAGATTTTATGTCTTAGAGCAGTTTTAGGGTTACAGAAACACTGAGCAGGAAGCCGAGGGTTCCCATCTACTCCCTCGCTCCCCGCCCCCACCAAGTTTCCCCTATTAGAAACATCTTTTGTTAGTGTAGTACGTGTCACAATTGATGAGTCAATATCGTTACATTATTGTTAACGAAAGCCCATCACTGACATTAGGGCTCACTCTGCGTTACCCATTTCACAGGTTTTGACACTGTATCCACTATTAGAGTGAAACACAGAATCATTTCACTGTCCTAAACATCCCCTGCGCTATTCACTCCTCTTCTCCCTCCCCCTCAATCCCTGGCAACCACTGATCTTTATACTGTTTCTTTATGTTTGCCTTTTCCAGACCACTATATAGTTGGAATCATACAGCAAATGTAGCCTTTTCAGATTAGCTGCTATCACTTAGCAATGTTTATTTAAGTTTCCTCCATGTCGTTTTATAGCAAGACAGTTCATTTCTTTTTACTGTCGGATAATGTCCATTTTATGGATATCCACCTCTCGGAGGACATCTCGGTTGCTTCCCTGATGGTCAACTTTTAATAATGCGGAGGGCCTATTTTTTTTTTTTCAGTTCTTTAAATAGTTCTATTTACCTGTTAAATTTCAACTGCTAGCACACTGAACTTTTCTCATCTTCCGTATTTAATGCAATTAAAGCTATTCTAGGTAAGGTATCATTTCACTTAAAACCGTATTTATGGGGGTCTGGGTGGCTCAGTCATTAAGCACTGGACTCTAGAGTTCAGCTCAGGTCATAATCTCGGGGTCTTGCGATCAAGACCCCCCCACTGGACCCTGCGATCACTGGGGAGTCTGCTTGAGATTTTTTTTCCCTCTCCCTCTGCCCCCCACCCCGCTCTAAGATAAATAAATAAATCTTAAAAAGAAAAGAAAAAGAAAAAAGCCAGGGGTGCCTGGGTGGCTCAGTTGATTAAGCCAGTTGAGTTGGGCTCCCTGCTCAGTGGGGAGTCTGCTTCTCCCTTGGCCCTTCCCTGCACCCCGGCCCCCGCTTTTGTGCACGTGCGCGCGCGCGCACACACACACACACACGCTTGCACTCTCTTGCGCGCGCAAAAATAAATAAAATCTTTTAAAAAAGCCATATTTATTGTTTAACTGACGCTTTTCCTATAAGGGATTTAAGGCAAAAAACATGCACAACATATTTTGCTTTCCTTAATGAAATGGTATCTACTGTTACATTTCAGCGTGCTTGATACATATGTATTCAAGAACTAGCTGACCACACTGGGTCACCTTTTCACTTCACCCATTGAGTTTATTCAGTTAGCCTAAGCCCAGAAATAGTCATTAAAATGTCTATCACTTATAATATAAAAATAGCTCCTTTTTTCAAATCTGTAAGCAGAGCCAACTGTAAGAATTTTAAGGATTGCTGCTAAAATAAAGTAATCTTCACTCAAAAAAGACATTTTCATGGATTAAATGAGGGTTAGAAAAAAAATTATTTAGCCAAAAATGAAACCAATTAAAGCTAACGTAGAAAAGATTATCTTCCAAATAAGATATTTTTTTTAAAGATTTTATTTATGTATTTGACAGAGAGAGACAAAGCGAGAGAGGGAACACAAGCTGGGGGAGTGGGAGAGGGAGAAGCAGGCTTCCCGTGGAGCAGGGAGCCCGATGTGGGGCTCGATCCCAGGACCCTGGGATCATGACC